CATTTTCGTTATATTGCCCTAGTTACAGCGGGATGTTCTGTTTTCTTTCTTAGTTTAAGCTTCACAGTTTTTAATGGAGGATTTTGAAATATTAGGTCTTTGGCAGTGGTTGGTTTTATGGGGAGAGCCACAGGAACTGGCCATCCATGTTGGTGGCCGGCTAAAAAGTGATCGTCTGTATGGAAGCCCTGCTGAGAGTTAGGGTGGGTGGGCAGGTGATGACCAGGATACTTGCCTGTGTGCACACCAGGGCACCTGCAACATTGGGGTCCGCTAACAGCAGCAGTCCCACTTTGAGCGCTGCCCTCTGCTGGCAGCCTGCCTCCTGCGCAGCTTCCCCAGGGACTAGATGGAGCTGCCCAGAAGACTCTGCCGTGAAAACCTCTGTGTCGGTGCTGTCCAGGATGGCGACACAGCCCACTGTGCCCACCGAGCACTGGAAATGTGGCTGGAGTGGCTAAGGAACTGACTTTGTAATTTGATTTTATTTAAATTAATGTGAACTTCAAAAATCAAAACCAAACTCGCTGCCATCGAGTCGATTCTGACTCAGCCACCCCTCCTTGGGTTTCCAAGGTGGTATCTCTGTGGAAGTAGATTGCCCAGTCTTCCTTCAGAGGAGTGGCTGGTGGGTTTGAACCGCCAGGCTTCTGGTTAGCAGTCAAATGCCATAGGCACAGCACCACTTAAGTTTAAGTGGCCACGTGTGGCTAGTGGCTGGACAGCGCAGGCATAGAGCCGCCTTGATCCAGTTTAGGCAGTGCTGGTAGGGTTCTCTGGAAAGGGCGGGCGTTGCACAGAAGACGTGGGGGCGGCACCCTCCTCTGACTCACAAGAGGGAGACAGAATCCCCATCAGCAGCCCAAGACTGATTGCTATGAGGCCAGACAGGCTACCACCCTCCAGCCTTATTAGCAACTCTAATGCCAGCTGTCCCTCCCCCGGCACTCACTCACTTCTTTGCTGGGTTCGATGATTGCTGTTAGTGTCCACACACAACTCCCAGACAATATGCACAGTTATGGGGCTTATTAGGGAAGTAACAGACTACAATCCAGGTTCAGGAACACACTCAGGATACATTTCTTCAGTCAGGACAGCCTCCCCTCTGCTGTGCCCTCAGGCACGTCTCTCTGGCCCTGGCCTCTTGGCTTGGTCCCTGCCCTGCTCAGGCAAGTGTTAGAAAATGCTTTTAGCTCTGCCGACAGCTACACCTAGGTGCACCCCACTCCACCAGCAAGCCTCCTGCCCCAAAACACTTAGTTTTCTCGCTCTGGGTGGCGAGGCCGCCGCTGTCTTGTGCCTCTTGGTTCCTCTGCAGTCGTCTCTGGCGGTCCAGGCGTCTCTCTGCCAAGACAGTCCAGTGCAGGGATCTCAGGTCCAAGGGCATGCTGCACTCCACTGCCAGCTGTTCTCTCGAGAAATACCAAACTTACTGCCATTGAGTCAGTTCTGACTCATAGCAACCCTGATGGGTTTCCAAAGCACTAAATCTTTATGGAAGTAGATTGTCCCATCTTCCTTCTGTGGAAAGCTGGTGGGCTTGAACAGCCAACCTTCTGGTTAGCAGTCACATGCCTTAGGCACTGTGCCACCCAAGTTCCTTTTTATCTCTAGAAGGGCTCCTTTTAAACCTGGTGGAGTGACAAAACGAACCAGTCTCCACAGTTGAGTTCCATGCACCTTATTTGCACGGTCCGTCCCCCCCCCCCAAGTAACCTGGTGGCAGTCCCAAAGACCATAGCTGGAAAGGCCACCCCACGTCATTCACTGCAGCACGGGGGGCTCAGCCAGGCCACACCACAGAGCAGGGTCTGTCTTAGTTGGATGTTAGTATACAAGGGACATTTTCACTCGGGGCCTGTCTGGCCCAGCTGCCGAAGTGAGTGGTTACAAAAGTGTTGTGTCTGACACAGGTGGCGGCCATGTGCCAGGACAGGGAGGCTGCCTGGCACACAGCCAGGTGCACAAGGGGCTCCAGGCGCTCTAACCCGGCCGGCCGGCCCCTGCTCACTCTGCCCCTCTGGTTGGAGAGCTGGGACCAGGGTGGCTCCGTTGAGGACTGGGTCCTGGGCATTTGCTGCCTCTCCTGACACTGTGCGTCGCAGCGGCTCAGGTGTTCACTGCTCTGTGGGACTCTTCCGTGTACAGCGGCATTGCATCCAGGAGCAGGACGAACTTCTCTGGAGTTACATAAACCAAGGCCCTGGTTGGAGAGCCCCGTCTCTGGCACCTGGGTCCTGGGTGAAGCAAGGGCCGGTTTAACGTCCTCCTGTCTGCCTTGCTGTCATCTGCCCAGGCCTTTAAAGAGCTATTGATGACTCGGGACAAACTTCTATAACTGAGGGCTTTGCTGTGGAAACTGATGATTGCTTCAGGGGATCCGTGACTTCCGCAGCTTCTCCGCCGGGCCTGGTGCTGAGCCTGCGTTTCTGATGTCACAGGAGCGGTTTTGTGCTGCTCAGTCTGTCACAGGCGCAGGACACGGCTCTGGGTGCAGAGTGCAGCCCTGAGGGCATGGGCGCTAGTTACAGCAATGTCTCCATGTGTTGGGTCCTGGAGCCAGAGCAGTGATGGTGGAAGGAAGAGGAGCTGTGGTAGCTCGGGGATGATTGACCGTGAAGGAAGAACCTTGCCTCCAGGGGGCTCTCTTTCGCTTCATGAAGATGCACCGCGGGGCATCGGGTCTTCTGCAGCCACCTTGCCGCACGTTTTCCAGCTGCTCTCCTCTGCAGCCTGATCCCTGGAGGGGCAGCTGTCCGTCCGCATTCCAAACACCGGGACCCTGCAGCGGCCCTGCCCTGTCATTCCCCTCCCAGCCTGCCTCTCCCACCACTGCCCCCTCAGCCATGGGCCACATCCCAGCCCTGCACTTTGCCATCAGGAATGATAACCTGGCTCGAGAGTAGATCGTGAATCAGCTTTGAGCTGCTCTGGTTCCTGGCAGCTGCCCTCCCTCCTCAGCTGCTGGGCTCCCTGGCGCTCAGGCTCCATGGAGCTTGTACTGAGGCACTCGGCACAGTGCCCCTGCCTCTAAGCCCACAAACGGAAAGTGGCTTTCTCTCCAGGGTATGGATGTTTGTCTGAGGCAGCTTTGCTGACCGGGCCACCTCGTGAGTCCTTCCACCTCGGGTGGACGCCCAGCAAGGCACTCCCTCTGACTCTACAGAGCCCAAGTGTGGCCAGGCCCCTGAGCCCTTGGCTGCCCGTGCAGCGGTCAGCTGGGCGTCCGTTGAAGGTCTCCAGAGGGGGCTCTTAGCACGCTTCCTAGCATTCTTCCCCCGTGGGGACTGGTTGAGGCCACCAAAAAGAGCCTCCTCTAACCAGCCTTGCCGTGGCTCTGACCTGCAGAGCCAGGATTGCAGGTCCTGATGGCCTGTGGGTATGTGGAGAGCAGACACAGGCTTGTCCGCACTGTGGCCCTGCGTGGCGCATGTTGTCAGAGGTGGCTCTGGCAGATGTGTGGGACACTGCCGTTTCCAGAAGTTTCTGGTGCTGGTTCCAAGGTTAGTTCAGTGTGTACTTTGGTGCTTGTCTTTCTTTCCTGCCCCAATTTTAGATGCATTTTACTAGGGGACCGTCCCAACCAGTCCCCGTTCTGTGGTGGCGAGGGGCCTGGGCCTTTCTGATGCGTCCACTCCGTGGCCCCGTCCTCGTTTCTGTAAACCCCTGTGGCCCAGGGTGGCGGAGCCCCCCTGTCCTCTACTGTTTCTCTTTGGCCCAAACTGGAGACACTGTTAGCAGGTGGTGCTGCCAAGCCCAGGTACAGCACACGCTTCCCAGGGCTCAGTCACCTCTCCTGCTGTTCATAAACTCTTCTGGCAGATTGGAGCAGCGGGAGTCTGGGTCACACTCTGTACTTGTGGGTTTTAAATTAACACATTTCATTTACTGCCATGCTGTTTGCTTGCCAAGGGAGGGGCCCAGGGATCGGTGATGACTTGTGCCATGACTGCCTGGGAGCCACCAGGATAGGCAGGGCCCAGCAGTCTACAGAGAGCTCAGCCCAGTGATCAAAGGTCCTTGTTGACAGCTTCAGCCACTGTCCCTTGCTTGTTATTCTCCCTTGAAATCTGTGGGCAACAGACTGCTGCTGATCTGGCTCGCTCTTTAAGCCTGAGTCTAATCGTAAACTTAACGAGGGTGAGACCACGGGAGCACCACTGAGGTGATCAGTATTGACTAACTTTCTGCCCCCACGTCTTGACTGGTGACCTGGCTGCCTGTGCCCAGGAATGAGGCCTGTTGCATTTCTACCTGTCTGCATGCTCTACCCTGGTGCCACCAGCTCCTGTCACCCGGAGGCAGGGGCAGGGCCTTGTCAGTCTACAGTATGGGCCACTGCTTTCAACCCTGTAGCAAACCATCTTTCCCTTCCAGGACACTCGCAGGGTTTTCATTTCTCAGAAGCATTTGTGTGGATTATCGCATGGTGTCAGCTTCTCCTGGGGACCTAGGCTGGAGGACGGAGGTAGCAGCCAGCCTCCTCTCTGCCTGACCCTGGGCTCTCCACAGAGGAACAACAGGCCTCTGGATCTGAAGCATTTTTACGAGGAGGGTTTGGATGGGACCTTGAGATGGGCTTAGCCTAGAATCAGAGTTTTTAGAAACATTTACTGGCCATCATTTCTGATTATCAAAATATGATCTCATCATGGAAATATGGAAACTACCACCAGAGTGAGTTAAGTGTCACCTGTCACCTTAGTGCAGGGTCCACTGTTGGGTTTGGTAGGTCTCTCCAGTTTGTCTTTCTCTGCTAGAGGACATCTTCACAGGGTCAGGGTCACATTTACACACCGTAAAGCAGTTTTGTGCCATGAATCCTTCCCCAGAGTGATAATTACTTGAAAGCATTAATTTTTTCAGGGACTGTGTGTTGTTCCCTAGTATTGGGGTACCCCATTTAGTTGGGGTGTCTCCAGTGTTTCCCTGTTAGAAACCGCCGTGTGGCCCCTCCTGTCTACGTGGATCCCTCTCACTGTCCCTTTGCCTTGCAGATTGTTTGCTGCACGAGGACAACTTCTCGCTGAGGTGCCCCAAGCACAAGGTGAGTCAGAGGCCCGAGAGCCTGAGCCCTTGGCAGGGCTGGTGGTCCCAGCGGCTCCTCCAGAGAGACTGAGAGAGACCAGGGCCCCGTCCAGGACCTCAGGCTGCTGGCCCGTCCTGCCTCCAGCCCCAGCGGGTGGGAGGCTGCTGCTGGAGGATGATCTGCCCCTGTGTGGTGGGAATGGGCTGGGAGGAGGTGTGCACAGTGGGGCGTTTTGCCTCTTGGCTAAGGGAAAGTAGATCAAATACGAAACTCCTGGTGCCGTCTGGATTTAGGGACGCCCCCCTAGTTCCCGGCGGCACCCCCTTCCTGGTGCACGTATAACGTAGGCTCTAAGCCTTGACGGGGAAGCCGGGGCTCTGGGGAAAGGCACAGGCTCCTAGAAGTGTTAAGCAGAAGTGACCCATGGGTACACAGCTGAGGGCTGCTGCCCCACCCCTGGTGTGTTTAAGGTGCTCCCTCTCAGTCGCCTCTTGCAGGAATGGTGGGCCTGTTTTCTGAGCTCCTCCCCCGTGTGTAAGGAGGGAGGGAAGGCTGGGAGTGGTCTCCTGCAGTGGCCACGCGGCCTCTTCTGGCTGAGGGCACACTGACACCTGCTGGTCACCACTGCTCACACCTCCAGATGGGACAGAAAGGACTAGCAACAGCACCTGCGCGGAGGCAGCCCTCGGGCGCTCTTGAGGTGTTCATGTGAGCCTCTCTGTGTAAAGCGCTCCCAGACGTGGCTCTCATCATCTTCCTTTTCGCTTAATCTCCACGTCTGGTTTTTGAAACTTCCCTATTTCAGATGGTCACCTTTGTCTCTGCAAATCTGTCTGAGTATCTCCTGTTTGTCGCTCAATACTGACTCTTCTCTCCCTTTCATTTTCCGTGTGCCGCTCCCCGCCTCCCCTCCGCCCTCCCGGCCCCCCTCTGTCCCTGCGTCCCGTCTGCCCCGGGCTTGGCCGCCGCAGCCCCCCCTCCCGTGCCCGCTCCCCCCGTTGCAGAACAAGACCGCGAAAGGCAGCCTGAGCACAGAGCAGTCGGAGCGGGGGTGAGGGGGGCAGTTTGCTCGCGGGAACGGAGTACAGCAAGCACAGGTGAGTCAGGGCTCAGCGCCCCCACCTCTGCCGGCCCCTGGGAGTGAGGCAGCGGGAAGATGCCAGGAGCTACCTGTCTCCTTCGGGTCACGGAGAAGTGCTCTTTAAACTCTCCTCTACCCACTGGGGCTCAGGGTCACTGTTCCTGAAGCCAGCCCTTGGGGCTGAGCCTGCCGGGGGGGCTCTAGTGGTGGTCTTAGGTCAGGACACGTCCGGTGGCTGGGCCTTTCCCCCGCAGGGCCATGTCCCCCCAACCCTTCTTCTGCTGGCTCAGAAAGGGCGCCGGGAAAGTTCCCGTCTTTATTCTGTTCCGGTCTTTGCAGTTGACTGCACCTGTGAGGCTGACCTTGTGTTTTCTCTGTCCCAGTTGTGGTGTTTGAGCTCTTGTTCTCCCCCATGCACTGAAGGGTGTCTTCTCCCGGAAGTACAAAGGAAGGAGGTCCCCTCAAGGACTGAGTGGGTTTGAGCGTCTGATTTTGCTTTTCCTTAAAAGCCTAGAGTGTTAGAGATGTGCCCTCTGTGAGTGTGGGGTCTGTGGTCAGGGCTGCCTCAGCGTGTGTCCATGCAAACAGGGTGACAGGTCCCCACTGTGCCACGTGGCCTCCGTCCCTCCTTTGCTGAGTCAAGGACAACGGAGTCAAGCCAAAGACAGATGAGGACAACAGGTGGTAAAGGGAAGTGTGGTCCTTGTTGCCCAGGGCTGGCCGCCTTGGCAGTGCTGCTCTTAGAAGGGCTTGCTTCTGGCAAGGAGGGGCTGCTGGGCTGCTAGGTGTCTGGGACCCGCACACGGGCAGGTGCAGGCCGCACCCTCTGGGCAGCGGGCATCCCCGACACGTCTCAGTGGCATATGGGCCCCTACCCTGTTACAGCTAGAAGATTCCCATCTTTCCCTGGGATTCTTAACAGTATTTTGAATCACAATAATTTGAGGAAAAATACCATGGATCTGCGAATGTAACTATTTTCTCTTCTCCAAGAAAATGATCTCTGAGACCCTGTTGATTTCTTCAGTGGACCCGGAGCCGAATCCAGGGCTCCGCACCCAGTCCTGCACGGCCAGCCCAGGCAGGCGCCGTGAGCGTTTGGTGGGACAGCGTGCGCCTCTGCATTGGCCAGGTGTAGCGAGCCGGCGGCCCACAGGACGGCTCTCCTCCCTCCTCCAGGGAGTCGGGTTGCAGGGGAGGGGACGCTTGTGCCCCCTTCCCACTGATCAGCCCTCAGGACAAAGTAGCGATTCAGGTGGCTTATGAACAGTGGTTTCTGCCGGCCCTTCCCATGGTCCCGGCGCACATCGGGTCCCTGCACTGGGCGGGCTCTGCAGCTCCCCGCGAGGCCCCTGGGTTTGTGGAGCCGTGTTCTGTAAGGACCCTCAGGGAGTGGTCCTGAGGTGTGCCCTGAAGACCCCGCTGGAGGAGAGCCGCTGTCGGTGCTCTCTGTTGTCCTGGAATCCAGCTGCCGTGTGGCAAAAAGGCACCGTGTGGGCCTGGGCTTAGGGGTCACTCACCTTAGAGGGCTGGGCTCTTGAGGCGGGCAGTGAGCTTCACCTCCAAAGCTGGCATCACCACTGCTGTGTTTACGGGAGGAGAAACTGAGGCATGAGTGAGGAGGGGGCTGGCCCTGCCACCATGAGGAGCACCAAGGCCGTTGCGGTGGGACCCTTCCCCTCCCAGAGTCTGGCCAGTCTCATTCACCTGCGATGTGGTCTTTCATGTGCTTTTCTCGGGAAGCAGGAGCCATCGGCTAGTGTCTCTGTTTTGAGCATCAGCAGATCGTGGTAGAGACGGGGCACCTCTGTCAGCCCAGGGTGTGCTGTAGGGGCTGTTGAGGAGCCCCAGCGATGGAGGATGTCACCCAACAGGGCACTGAAGGGACAGTGGAGGCATACACGGGTCCTGCTCCTTGGCGGCCAGCTTTCCCTCAGAGGCAGTGCTGGGTGGCCTGGAGCCCTGTACTGCCCGCTTCCTCAGAAGGGCCCACCCGCGTCACCACACCCCGACAGTGCTCGTGTGCCCGTTGTGTTACTGCTCCCACATTAGACGGTAAACTCCGTGAGAGCAGGGGCCACGTCGCTTTCGTGTCGTGTCCTAGCCAGAGCCTGACATTAGTGCTGCTCGAGGCTCACAGACAGAGTGACCACATCCCAGAGGAGAATGAGTCGGTCCCCTGGGCTGGCTGTCCGTAGATCACTGCAGACTCAGAGTCAGAGCCCTCCCTCCCCAGAGAGAATACTGGAAACGGCCAACACGGAAGTAGCCCCTGCCGGCTGTCACTGGCAGAGCGTCTGCCCCAGGCTTGCTGCTCCAGGCCCGGCCCTCTTGTACCACATCCCCGCAGGTAGACGGGGCCGTGAAGCTCAGGGGTGGCAGTCCCTGGGGCCCAGTCAGAGGAGCATGGCCAGGATGGGAGCCCCAATCCCAATTCTGAACACACGTGTTCGTCCCTGGGCTGCAGCATTTCCAAGGTGGGAGCCAGAGACCTCTGAGAGTGGGTGTGGAATCCCGTGTAGTGCCCTGAGCAGAGCCTGGCCTGGACAGTTCTGAGGAGCTCCTTGAGAAGTCTGGGTCCCATTGTGTCCTGTGGCCCTGGCTCCTCAGGAGCTGGGGGGTGGTCCGCAGTCTCCCGCCCTGTACGAGCCCCCTCCCCATCAGACACAGGCTCGGGAGTCATGGAGAATGAGTGCCGTTAATGTGAAACTGTCCTGCAGGCCACCTGGCATGGTCTGTAGGGGTCTCTTCCCCAGAGTGGCAGATGTCGTCGTCCATTGCAGATAGTACCCTTGGCTGAGACGAGTGGGGGGTCAGGGGCTGAGGCCCTCAGCCAGGATCCTCCACCTGCCTCTGCAGGACGGGAACGCTCCTGGCCTCAGTTCACCAGGAGGGGGCGCACCGCAGCCTGGCCTCTGCTGGGCCCCAGCTCAGCCAGCCAGTCACCACTGCCACCTGAACCAACGTGCCAGGCCTCCTGGCAGGCGGGTCGGACACATGCTCAGAGCTGTCGCTCAGCACCTGTCCCCTGTCTTCCAGGTGAGACTGTGGAGATGAGACGTGGTGGACACGCGTGATGGAATGGAACCCGTCCTGTGCAGCCCCCCACCCCCACCCCGACGTGCCTGCCCGTGCCAGCACTTCCTCCTCAGTTCTTACATCACACTCACCCCGGGACACCAAGGAAAGAGACCCAAGAAGTTGGAAAGGCTGTTTCCATGGACACAATCTCCATAGTGACAATGTGGGGGAGGGGGGAGGGGAGGGATGATGGGAGAAGGGTGGGGGGAACTAAAAGGGAGGGATAAAAATATATATCTATAAATCTATTTTTAGTCTGGAAAGACTTTGTTTAAATGAAAGGTGCGCTATCCCTTTTGATTCTATTTTAAAATTACCTGGTTCAAGAACTCCAAATTGTTCCAATGACAATGAAATTCAAGTGTGAAATTGAACTGAACAAACTCATCTCACAAGGACGGGTGTGTGGCTCGGTTCGTGGCCTCTCCTGCCAACCCGGAGAGCCGTTGCCCAGGACCGAAGAAACAGATGAGCCGCGCCGAACCACCCCGTGTCACTTGTCTCCAGGTGGGGAGGTATGGGGGAGGGGAGGGGAGGGCCATGTTTTCAAGAGTGGGGGAATGATGTTTCAACACAAATAAATTTTTTCATTTCCAGAAACACTATTTATTTATTATTATTTTAAAATTTTTTTTATCTTTTTTTTGATGGGGTGGGTAAGTTGGCGGAGACCCCACAGTCACAGCCAGGTCCTGGGTCACTGGCTGGCGAACCCACGGGCCTCACCGTGTGTGCACAGTGGGCGCTGGACAGCAGGCGGAGATGAGGGGCCGCAGCCCCTGCACGTTCGGGGCACCTGTGTCCTGCCCCCCGGGAGCAGGAGGTGGCCCAGGCCTCTGCTGCCGGGCAGGGACATGAGTCAGGGCTGCCCTGTGGGTCAGTGGGCCGCGCCAGCCAGAACACCCGGTTACCCTGCTTGCTTTTCGCACTCATTTTTATAAAGGAAAAGGAGGCCTGCCAGTTGAGCGGTCCCGTGCTACATGATTACGTTGTATTGTTTTGTTTTGTAAATTGTATAATTTTTAAATATCTGAGTTTTAAAAAAAGAAAAAAGTACAAAAAAAACTTGTTAAGGCCTTAAGAAGGGGTTAGTGCATCTTTCAGGGGTCACTCTGCCGTGGGGATAAACTAGCTGTTTCACAAACAGTTTTATTAAGAAAAAAAAAAGAAAAACAAAAAAATAATAAAGTTCATTTTAACCTTGTTTCCTTTGTTTACTCTAAAGTGAACCGTCTCTTCCTCCCACTCTGACACCCAGAAGGTGGCTGTGGGTTGGGCTTCGGGCAACACTGCCCTCTGACCTCGGCTCGGGCCTCCAGCCTCACACAGGCAGGGCTATCCTCGTGGCTGTCCCAGACGGAACCGCAGCTGCTCCCCTGGGCTACCAGCCCGGGCCAGGGAGGCAGTCCACGTCAGGGACAATCACATCTCCATACATGGACATGTTGCCAGTCAACAGTAATTTTAAAGGTTATAGAAACATAATCCAGTGTTAATGGACTTTGAGAGTAAATATTAGAAGGACTTGTGAAGTGGAAACAAGCGATGATAACTGGGTTCCTCTGGGCACATTGGTTTGAGGCAGCACAAAGGGCAGGTTAACCTCATCTTAATGGCTGCACCAGCGTGCGGCCCATCTCTCTACGCAGCCAGCACGGTGGCAGAGGCACGTTCAGGTGGCCAGGTGGGGTCTACTCAGAAATGCCAGCTTTTTGAGCTGCTCCATTCAGCTTCTGCTTTTGACTTGGCATTAACACTGCTGACATGATGTTAAGTTTCAGGTGTTGAGTTTGAGACCACAAAACTTGGAAAACGGGTACCTTGAGGAAGATGTTTTCCTGGTGGCGAAGACGTCCTCATTGTGCGTCTTGACTCCTGTGGTCCCTTTTGGCG